TTCCTCCTTGAAATCTCTCTTCAATAATAATAAGCTCTTTTTTCTAAGCAGCATCAATTGAACACTTTTACACTCGAAATAGCACGAAACTACAATTCTCTCTTATTACATAATACGACAGCCCTTTGTTAGAGATAATCTTAGATAGTTGTTGTAAACAAAGAGTGCAGATTATGACAAGAAATATTAAAATTTGAACTACAGTACACAGAGGGCAGAACACCAAGAACTTCAAGATTATTTTCACACAGAACACACGTTCATCCACTTTCCATTTTTAACACACACACACACACATTTATTAACTCTCTCCAACAAAATTCCCTGTATGCCTAATAAAATATACATAAGCTTAGTCTAATAACTGAATAATGTTTTCCGGTCTATACGCGGATGTATGGTTGCGGTATTATCAAAATAGAAACAAAATCAGGATAGACGACATTCTTACCCTGTCTGAGGTAAATAAATGTAAACATCAATTTGCGAAAAAATAGATATATAAATAGACGGTTCAGGATGTGATTCAGTGTCTCGATATGAAATGCAGTTAAGAAGGGATGAATTAGTTAACTGCTTACACGTATTACTGGAATAAGATGCAGCTAAAAGAGAAGAGCATGATGGAATTTTGTTTACTATTCGATAATAAACTACGTTCTTTTGGGAGCAACCAAAACCTGATTTCTAAATTTTGGAGATTTAAGAATGATGAGCCACTGTAGCCCTTATATTGAAAGGAATTTTTTTGCGTGTCTCAACTATAGAATGCAATTTCCATCTATGAAAGTTTGATATTCACTATACTATCATGCAGTCACACATATAAACAAAAGAATATCCTGCCCTAAACAAAGGCAAGTATTAACCCAACCAATTTTCAGTTTTGCTGTTGTTCTGTTTCCACTGAAGAGTTAACCTAGGGATGAACTATTGCTTATCGTAAAAGGAATGCTCACTGTAAAACAATCTTCAATGAAAGGACCTCAGAAATGAATGATAAACACACACTCTTTCCAACTCAC